TATACCTTTCTCCCAGAGCATGTCAATGGCCTCCCTAATCTTCCGCTTTCTTGTGTTTTCTTCCTGTTGTCTTCCAATTGATCTCGTGTCCAGTCTGTGCAATGTGTTCCGCTAGTTCTGATCTTTCGGTATCCAATTTCCTGCAGAGCCCCTGATCTTCCTTGATTCGTATGCTAATTTTTCTCCCTGTTTCGCCAATATATTTCTGTTCGCAGGCGCCGCATAATGTGCAGCAAACTCCTGAACAATCCAATTTGTCTACCCTTTCATGCTGCGTTGGTAGGCTTGTGAAAAGTGTTGATTTCTCTTTCATGGCCATCTGAATATTCCACTTCTTCAATATTGGCAGTAGATTTTGAGTTTGTTCGCAGGAAGGTAGGCATATCAACTTCATCGTCCTTATTGTTTTTTCAGAGTCTCCGTTCTGCCATCGGCTTTTCACGGCCCGTCTGTTTCTTTGTATCACTTCGCTTGGGTAGCCATTGCCGAGGAGGATCCTAGTCAATTTGTCCTGCTCCTTTTCCCAGAATCCTACATCCGTTAGGCGTAGGCTTCAGATGATCATGCTCCTCAATATTCCGATCTTTAGCCTGTAATTGTAAAGGGACCGGAAATTGAGTATTATCCCATCAAAGTACTTCCTTCTTTTTGAGCGTCCCATTAGAGCGAATCACTTCAACGTCCAGGAACGGTAACCGCTCACCTTTCTCCACTTCCAACGTGAATTGAATTTTTTCATCAATCTCGTTTACAAACTTCAGATACTCTTGCAGTTTTTCTCTTCCATGTGACCAAAGTGGGCAGTAATCATCCAGGTACTGCATGAGCACTGCCGGCTGTAGCGGTGCCATCTTGAAGGTCTCTTCTATTACGTTTCGGAGAATGGTAGAACTCACTGATGATGTCGACTACGATGCCGGCGAAACGTTTGATAATGCACCAAGTCCACTGTCTGATGCTGGGAATCATGACATCTACTAGGGCAGACGACTTCGTTCTAGGTGCGTTCTACTAAGTCTCTCTGACAACAAGACCAAGTTGCTACAACGTGGTCAACCCACTTCTATAAATTGAAAAGAGACTACAACCATACCAGTGGCCACAACATCTTGGTCTTCATATGCTTTCATTTAACCTGCACCAAAAAAGCACTAACGAGGCGACACTCGAAACAAAAGGACTCAATCTTGACAGGTTAAAGTGTCCCCGAAACCTGAACTAAATTTGTGCAGATTTGGGTTGCATGAATGGCGTGTAATGGTTTGATATAAAAAGAGGGAATACAAAAGCCATTTAAGGCACTAATAGATGCTTGCTATGAAATTATCATAATATATGGACCATATAATTATCTGTTTTATAAATTATGTGCATTATCTCTTGGAAATACATTAAATTGCGCAAACGAAAGTTGACATTCCTGAACTCACATGATTATGCCCACGCATTATAACATGGAATACCGGAACTTAAATCCTCCTGAATTTAGGCTACAGAAAGCGTGGAGACAGGTCGCAGCCAAACAGGAAGAGTGGTAGAGCTGACTGAGTCAGTATCTGCCCGAGACCGACAACTGGCCGAGGTCAAAAGGACGAACCAGCGTCTCAGCGAGGAATTGGCTCGTACGACAGAGACGGACCGACAAACAGCCGATCTAGTGAGGGTGAGCTACACGAACAAATAGATAAACTTATTAGGAGGCAAATTTTAAGGGACTATCATATAATGAAATAGGTCCCCTTTATCATTTTGTCCAATAATAAAGTGAATACAAATTAGGAGTAAGATAGATTGTGTTCGGCAAGGAGGCCCCGAGACGAAAAATGACGCACTCTTTTCCATCAAATGAAACTTCAAAAGGCTCACAGAATACTTTATGAGGATTTTTACTCATTGGTTATTTAATAATAGGATCATTTTATCGAAAAATTTCCAGCCAATGAACGTATAGCATATAATATTAATAATTAAAATTTTTAAATCCTATTTCAAAGCTGATCGATATGACATATATTTTTTAGATTACTCAAATATTATTTTAGTAGTATCTATCCGGTATTTAATAATAGCCAGATTGAAATTTTCTATCTAGGTCAGTTATTCCCAAACTGTGCGCCGCGGCCTCTTTACAGGGGCGCCGCGAAATGTTGTAAGGGTTTCAATCTGAGAAAATATGCAGTTATTTGCAGTCTCCTCCATCACATTAATTATTAAATATTAATTTAATGTTGATAAAGTAAAATAAATAATGAAGATACACGAGTTTTATATATTTTTATCTCTTACTTACGAATAGTCATACTTTGGGTAGGGCGCTAAGAAATGCTCCTCTCAAATCTCTCATGGGGTTGGCTCAGGCAAGCGTGTGCATGCATCGGTTTGCGTTTTAGCGTGTTAATATGTGAGTTGATGAAGCTAAAGTGGCAAGCTCTGAAGCCGAATGTTCTGAGCTAGAGTTTTGTCATAGCTGGTGTTTGGACCATGGTGAAGTGAAAACGGAGGGATTCTATGTATAGGAACTTCAATTTGAGGTATTTGAAGTAGAAAAATCCTATTTATTTTATTGTGGG